GCATTTATTTTAAGGAGGGGAGGGGGGGCGGGTGGAGGTAAAATTTACTAAGGAAGAGTGTGAACTTATTAGCAGTTATTGTTAAATCAGATTTGGCCTTTAGTCTCAGAAAAAAACTTATAGCATTGACATTAACATAATCACCCTATTTACTCCCTTTCATTATTTATTACACATTAAAACAATGATTTGCTGTGTTATAAGGCATGCTGTGTTCTTCACTCTTAAGTAATCTATACTTTAGCACTGTTATTGTTCACAGTGGGGTTAAGTATATGGTATAATTTTAGGGGCTTTTTTATCCCAGCTTTTAAAAGACCCCCTATAATATCAGAGCTATAAAAATGGAGAGCTGCACATCTTAACCTCTTAAAATATGGTTGAATTACTGACTATACCGATTAAGTTTTTACTAATACTGTATATCTAGTTATGATTTTAAATATAATTTCAATATGAAATGATGTTCATTTCGATATAAGATGGGGTGTAAAGATAATGGAATTCATAAGGCACAGTTTGACCAACAGCATGTTTGTAACTATTTTAATTTCATAAAGGGTTATAATAATTATATTAATTTCTTTCCGGTGACAACATTAATACGTATTCATCTTTTGTTTTTCTTGATATTAGGTGCTGAAAAAAATCTCAAATTTAATTACCGTTTTCCTCTCCTTTTAGGTACCAAAATTCCCTTCAGAGGTTCTTAAGTATTTATCACACATAGTTTTTAACCCCTCATCATCCAATATACACCATTTTTTTTTATTAAGCTTTTCCATAAATCATACTATTGCCCAGACTTGCATTATCTTTCAGATATAATGCCTGTATACTTATTGATTAGGTTTGTGTGTATACCTTACATATAATCACACATTTATGTTTACTTACCTGTAAAGTGACATAAATTGTGAGGTAAAAAATACTGTATAAATATAATGGTGTTATTTGTATATTACATGTTGCCAGTATAGGTTTTTGATTGATTGACATGAAGGTTGTGATAGAGAAATTTGCATGCATTTGTGCCAGTTTTCAGCCCTTTTTTCAGTCAGGTGGTTTGTCATTCTTAATTTCACAGGTACTGCATCATCGCCAGGTGGGCCTAATGAAGGTTCTGCTCCGGTAGAATTTGAGGTAATGACAAAGATGATTATCTAAACACTGAACATAATAACTGATTACCTTTTTTACATAATATTGTATTAATTCATTTGAAAACACTGAACATCTGTAGCATGTATAATTCACACTGTGTAAAAAATTAACATGTAATTGATTTTGATATAATGTGTAACACCTGTTATGTCTTAGTTTCAGGCACCCAAGTCAAAGAAGAAACGTTCAGAATTAGAAACTAAACAAAAGGTATGTGCAGTGCCACATCAAGAGATTTGTATGAACACCGCCCTCTAGGATTTATTATTTTACAACAAAGATTTTATAAGATAGCGTTCTGCGGTTTGCATGTAACAAATGGAAGCGTCCAATTCACGCAGAAAACAATAGAAAGTAATTGTAACTGAGTGAGGGCGTCCTAGTTGTTACTGTGGTGGTTGTTCCAGAATTTGTACTGAAATCTTAGATGTGGCAGTTCACAAGTAATTGTAATTGCAAGAAGTCGTCCTACACTGCGTTATTACAGAATTTGGTGCAGAAATCGCGGAGAACACTATCTTGTTCTTATAAGATCTTTGTTTTGCAACCAAACGTCTGAAATATTATGCTTGTAATTTTTCTTGGAACAGGAACAACGTAGAAGAATACAACATTTATCATCGGAACATAAAAGACGGAATAATATACACTCTGGATTGGATGAGATTCAACGTATCGTCTGCGGGCCTCAATCGTCGAATGATAAAACAAGCCAGGCAATACTTCTACAAAAAAGTAAGAAAAAGATTTCTGGCTTCAGGGAGAATTTTGAAATACACAAGATGATATAATGTCAATTTACACAGTGAATGGCGCAAGCCTCTGTATGCTTTACATTGATACTCTTGTCCTTGCAACAGGCACTTAGCTCTTTGCTCCCTACGTATGTTATAATGTTTGAACTGGTAATCATGGACATGTGAGCCTACTATCTACCCGCTTGTAGTCCTGGGTGAAGAGAAAACATATGTAATGGGTCTTCTCAACAAACAGACAATGGCCGCCCTTGAATTCAAAACTCTTCACATGATATTTTTTTTTACTGATTCGAACCACACCATCTTGTCTTCTGATTTGAAAGTCCAAAGGTTCACTGTTTTACATTCTTTAATGTTCTGTTATTGTGTTTCTTTCTAATTTTTTTTTTTTTTTTTTTTTTTTTATTGCTCCTAATAGCTTCAGAACATATCAAATCTTTACAAAATGAAATTGCAATGAAGGTGGCGGAAATGAAGCAACTGAATGATGAGATTAGCAGTCTCAATGACCAAATCAAGTAAGTACTTAGTCACTCAGCAAAGATTTTTTATGTCCTGTCAGAAATGGTGAATTTCCCATCATGGGCAGGGATACATCCTTCTGCCAGAAATGTCATCTCCCCTTGTGGGAAATTACTCCTGCTGAAAAATTAATCACCTCTGTTGAAATTTCTCCACCCCTTGCTAACTATTTATAATCATAAAATATTTATTATAATGAAATGCAACAAAATGTATAGTTAAATATCTGTTTGCAACTGGTTTCAGCTGTACTATTACTACTCCAAATGCCTCCACAGTGATAACTTATGATTTATTCTTATATTAGTGAAGTCCAGGATGAATTGCCTGATACTGGAGCACCGGTCAGTACCCAGAATGACCATCAACTGCAAGCTATGTTTGACCAGTATATTCGCGAGTCAATGACTTCCAACTGGAAGTTCTGGATCGTATCCTTTGTCATTAAACAAATAAATGAATAAATAACTATTTAATAAGTAAATGAATAAAATGAATGATATGAAATAAACTGAATGATTGAGTATAAGTGGAATTGAATGAATGAATTTTTGGATATACCCTGTAAGGGCGTGTTTCTGCTGAATAACGCCAAAAACACGTTTTTATAAACGGTTAACTAACTAACACGGCAATTGTGTTTCAGCTGAAAAGTGTACCAAAAAACACATGTTTTCTGAATGCGAACCCTATAACGAATGCGTGTAAAAACACGCATTTTTAGAACGCACTCCTAACCATGTTTTTGTTTTGTGGCCCGTTTCTACTGGTGAAAAAACACATGTTTTTTAATAACCGTTTAAAAACAAATGCTTTTTTGCTCAGCAGAAACAGGCCCTAAATGATGTAATATATTAATGAATTGAACGGTTTAATAAATGGATGAATTTATTTTTAAATGTAAAACTCAATTAATTCATATTATTTGGATGAAGGAAAAATGTATTAAATTGATAAATTGAGTGAATGAATAATTGAATGAAATAAATTATTGAATGAATGAATGAATAAGGTGAAGAGAGAAACTGTCTAAAAAATAAAAAGAATTATTAAACAAACAAAATGATTGATTGATTGACAGGCTTTACTCACAATATATCAAAATAGTTTTAGCAGAATGAAGTACACAGTGTTCTCCCCAGGCCTTTGAAGCATCATGGTACCATGATGCTTGGGACTTTCCCCATGATGCTTGACAGTTGGCCATGATGCTTGGAACATCTTCAATGATGCTTTTATCAGTGAACAGTTAAATTATTTAACTGTTCCCTGCTTTTATATAGTCTTAAAGTGCAATTTAGGACATTTCAATGCCTTCTAATTATTAAAAATACCTTGTGTCAGTCCCAACTACAGTATGGTGGACTTAACACTCACCATGACGCTTGCCCATGATGCTAGGGAGAACACTAGTACAGTATAAGAAAACTTTATTTTTTAAAAATTGTTCGAAGTATGAATAGGCCTACATCTGAGTTCCCTTTGACAACTGTCACAACTAGGCTCCTTAACAGGTTTTCTCAGTTTCGTATGCTAATCGAGCCGCTGTTTGCATCCTACTTGAGTGCTATGTCAAGTGTGTCGAGTTATAGTTTTGAGAATGCGCTGCATGAGTGGGTCGATCAGTCCTGTAGACTGAGAAACCTAAGGCCTTGTAAGTACTTATTTAAATCTCTAGTCTGGTAAAATAGGGAAAATTGTTATAAAACATTAAATTACAGTAGAGTTAATCTTAAGTGGACACCTTCAGACTAGAAAAGGTGTCCAATAAATAGGTCTGTCCCTTCAATAGGTGTTGTCTGTTACTTGTGTTGAAAGGTATACTTCATTTTGTGACTAAACGTGTCCCCTTAATAGAAGTCATTGACATTATAAACAGTTAAACATTCCTAAGTCTAAGTCGCTCTATTAATTAACTATCAGTAAGTCAAATTTTATCTCAGTCAAACAATTTTTCAATGCCATTTTTGATTCGAAAGTTCAACTGTATTTTTATGTATAAAAACGAATGTTTAATTTGTTTTAATTCATGTTGATGTTTTTAATATTGTGATGTTTAACTACTATTTTGCATAACAGTGGTAAAATATGGTTGTTATTACAACAATATTTATTATTATCCCTATCAATATAATACAGTATATTGTTATTGCTATTTATTATCATACTGAAATGAAATTCTTAATGTTCTTAATTTTTTGTTTTAGTGGCAACGAAAGCTGTCCGTGAAGTCAGTAAAAAGACTACAATCCTCAGTAGACCTCAAATGCTTCCAGAGCAGGTGCAAGCACTGGTGGAGGTAGAGGCGAGTAGTCAGATGGAAAGCTGATAGCACCCTCAACATATTTAGAACATAATATATATATAAATAGATATAGATATATAGCATGCCTTGATGAGAAGGTTTTGTGTTCATGAGTGTATGAGGGTGCCCTTCAGAGGTTCCTGCACAGGATAATATATACCACGGGCGGTTATTGTTTTGTTTTGTCTTTCCTAGTACCTTGATAAACTTGAAACATATCGTTCAAAGGAGAATTGTCTGGGATAGATGGGCATGTGGGAAGGGGGTAGGGGAAGGTTTGTTCTATATCAAGTGTATTAGAGCAATATTCCTATTCCAAAATAATGTAGTACTTTTTTATTTGTGCGGAACTTCATGATCCTATACTCTCTATACTTAGCCATAAGATGTTCCACACTGGAACGCATCCCCTCATCTGGACACATTCTGCCTTTACAAGTAGGTAGGTCTTAAAGTAAATAATATATTTGTAAAGATAATAGTTAAGCTATGCATTTTATTTGTTTAAAAAAATGCACTTGGGTTTCTAGTGATTTAAGTTGTTATTAAGTATCACCATTATATTTTATTAAGACAAAACTGTTTTTTGGGGGTGCAAAAAAATCCTTGTATCAAGGAGAAACGTTTTTAATTTATCTTGTATTATCTTGTGCTTATACCAGAGGAACTAAGTAAACTTTGACTTGTTTCAAGATTTCAACACAGACTGTATACCTTGTAGTGTCATTCACAGTTAAAAATAATGTTATTGATTGCATAAATTACTGTCTTTTTTTAAATTCAATTTTTTAATCTATTTTTCTTATCAAATAAATGTCTAATCGAAACCATGCTGCAAATTTAAATTGACATTCATTGAGTTATTTTTCTTATTGCTCTGTTTAATTGAAAAAACTGAAATTAAGCAGAAATCAATGCTAAACATGTAGATTTTTCCTTCTGTGTCCAAATTCTATGTTAAATTTTTTGTGAATATTTAGCTGTAAAAACACATTCGTTTACACATTATTTTCGTGATATTAGTGAGGGCTCACTTCAGCCTTAAGGATAGCTAATTTTGAGGTTTGACCTATAAAGTACACATGCTCTATATTTGTATTAGAAGTCTATAGGCAATTTTAGAATAGGCCTGGTATATTTTGATTAAAGGTGCTAACAATACGTGTTAGCACTAAACAAAATCGATACTGCATTGGAGCTTCCCAACACACACAAGCTATTCTCATTTTATGTTTTAATGTGTATATGTTGATGTAGGCCTAAAGACGATTTAGTGACAAAGGTCGCCCAAGTGCTCCAACGAGTTGTTGGTTTTACAAATTTACCATTTACAGTAAAAATCAATAGTACTGTGCAGTGCAGTGTGTTATGTTTTATTGTCCTCTACTGTGTCCAGTTTAAATGGACTTCCATTAAAAGCATTTTAAGAATTATTGTACCCACTACTGAAGTAGATAATTGCCTTGTTTATTGTACAGGTTGTTACACATGTCTACACAGTTAAACTGTGTAGACTTCTATTTCCTCAATACAGGCCTTGTAATCATATAATCATATGTCACTACTTACATCTCGTCTTTCACTATCTACTAATTTTCTAAATCTTTGTAATACAGTATGTCTAAAACCGTATGAAGGGTGATTTATGCAGCAAAGCTTATCATTTTCAGTGACAATTATCTGTGATTTCCCCATATATGGCATGATGATGTCATCACACCAGTGTATTATAAGCATAATGGTGTCATATTACATCCATGGCATAAGAAGCTGTTCACACCCATTTATGTGTAAATCACAGGTCTTTGTCATAAAATTTGATAGCGTGGACGGAGCATTGGAGTTGCAGTTGCCGACTCTCTTAGGATTGAACTCATGACTTTAGTAAACTAGAACCCCTAGCATGGCACCTCAACAACTCTGCCACAGATCCGCTTTTAACCCTTTGTCAGGTAATTGTATTCTTTTTGTATCATCTAGGTGACAAAATTGATGTGCCTTATTTGTTCTACATTTTTAGATTCTTGGTTTTGTTTAGTTTTTTTTTTTTTCTCCAATGAACCGTTATTCTATAATATAATATTTATATATATATATATGTATACATGTATATATATTTACAAAACTGGTAGATTCAAGTTATGTACGTGCAGTATTAGGTTTGTAAATGTTAATTTTTTTTTTATTTTTTTATTTTTTGGTAAAATTATAAGAGCTTGTATTATGTGTATAGATTGCTAAAATTCATTGAAATTACCCATGATTCATGCGTGGCAGTAGACATAATCATGTGCACATTACTGCTGCTGTTTATAATAACTGTACTGGTTTTGACACTTGATGAACACATGTTTCTAGACAGGTTTTTTTTTGGATAGTGAAGAACGCGTGTTTGTACACGCATAAAGCCTGTTTTCGACTAGGCGATTTATTCGCGCGAATCGAAAGCGTCGGTTTATGTGCATGCGCATTCACATTTCTATCAGAGTTTTTGTAAAGCGAAAAAATGCGCAACCAACTGACGCTTTGATTCGCGCGGATAAATTCACCTAGTGGAAAACAGGCTCTACACACGTTTTTATCAGAAGGGTTAAAGAATGCAGTCTTGCTTCAATACTGTATTTTTTCCACTATGTTCTTATCGTGTCCACACACTTGCTAAATACCAGGCCCGTATCCAGGGGGGGTTTTTATGTTTTCTTTTCTAGCAAACCCCCCTCTTTTCTGGCGAAACCCCCTCTTTAAATTTCCCAAATAAGTCATCCAACCCCAACTAATGCACTGCAGACCCACCCAGACAGAGACATTTTCAAACATATCTGCTTTTATAGCATTATTTAGACCCATAAAGCACAAAAATCCTCTTGCTTTGGGGGTTTCGCCTACCCCACGGGGGCTTGTGTTCCCCCACGGGGGCCTCGACTGTGGACCTCCCCCCCAGAAAACCCCCCCCCCCCCCTTTGGAAGAACCTGGCTACGGGCCTGAATACCTTGTTTCAGTCAGAGCTGGAGCACAATCATTGTAATCATTGTGATGGAGCTGATGCCAGCTCCATCAGATGGCATGATGAAAATGAGGATAGAAGTACAGGTAGATCTTAACTTGACCTTGTGTGTAGTGGTGGTAGAATTAGCGTAATCCAGGGCATATCACAAACCTACGCATATAGAATATATTCATCAGCAATACACTTGTTGTTATTGTTAGTATTAATATTTTATTGGTAATAATTATTTTCTATTATTGAATGCTATTAATTATTTCAGTTTTTATACATCAATTGTATTATTCTGTTAATTTGGAATTATGAAAACTATAAAGTTTGCGTTTGTATTGTAATAAAATACTCTTGTTATTGTAATTATTATTATTATTATGTATTATTGGTAATAATTACTTTTTATTGTAATTGATTTTTTTTTTTCATTTTTTCAGTTTTTATACATAGATTGTTGTATTGTTCTGTTAATTTGGAATTTATAATATCTATAACGTTTGCATTTGTAATAAATATTCGTTTGAATTGCATACTTTGTATATTTAAGTTATTATTAAATTACAATTAAAAATTTGAACGAGAAATATATTTTATATATTTTCCTGACCAGTTAACATATGAAATGAATATATTGTTCACGTATGGTACAATTATTGTTTTAGCTGACAATATATTCATAGATTTTGTAGTAGTCCTAAAGACTATCATTTAGCGAAAACTATATTGTTCACATGTGTGAAGTGTCTAATGGGCCTTTCCTGGGTGTCAGTCAAACTTATCAACTGACCAATCAGGACATCGTCATTAATACGCGCGTTTTCCACAAACATGTGTACGTCCATTTACAGTAGTTTTGGGTACTTAGCAACAGTATCCAGTGGGCGGGGCTTAGCGGAAAGGTCCGTTCGATGGAACTGTTATCCCTTTAATGAGCAATTCAATGTTTTAATTGAATGTTGAAAGGATTTTTACATTTTCCCATGGATTACCTTAAACGTGACTGAGATTGATAAATAAAAATGATTTGAGAAGAAAAATCTTGCATCTTCATTAGCATATTTGACTTTGAGTTATTGTTATAGTTTTTAAAGCTCTCAAGTTTTTGGATGGTGCTATATAATGCGCTTTATATGTCAACTTGTTACTGTATTGTTGTTGTTAGACTTCCAGAAATAACACTCGCAAACGTTGAAAAAGTGCTTTGATAATTGAAAGTTTTAACAAAAGTGAGCCATCAGGCAAAGTTGTTCAATATATCGCGTAGTACTATGCTTTAATACGGTTTGAAACCTTGGTTTTCACAAAAGGCATGAGAATGGCGCGAAAGCCCTGAGGTTGCGTCTGGAAAGCGTGAGTGCCGTGCCCCCCCCCCCCCCCCCCCCCGAGCTGACCCCTGTTGTGGAAATCTGACACAACTTAAAAATTATTGCCTCCCTAGATTATCAGTCACGGTATACATTCATCCTGTACAGATGGTAGGTTTCCACCTTTCTTTGTATTTATGTTCATCCGAAAATAAAATTTGAATTTGAATTGAATTTGAGTTACTCCCGCGGCCCGATTATCTCTCTCCAACAAGTTCTAGACCTGCACTACGTGCCATTTGTTTTTTAGAAACAAATGAAGAACCCACATTGTTGTGGAGACCAAACTTTATTAGGTAGCACCCATACAGAATTACCATGGGGATCGTGGTGCTGGTGTAATCAAGTGAAAAGACATGGATGGAATTGACACTCAGAAGAAAATAACACAATTATGGCCAAATACAATTAATTGCTGGTTTCACGTCCCACCAATACATTTTGGAGCCTCATGAAAAAAATTACTATTTGCTATTTAAAAAAAAAAACAATAAAAAAAAACATTTTTTCGATGGAAAATAAAAATGGTGATCTAAAAAAATTGTTGTTAAAGCCTAACAAGAAATGGAAACATCAATGGCATTATTGCAAAGATTTTATTACTGGTTTTGTAATATATAACAATTTTTATTCATTTTTGTTTATTGTTTAAAACTATAGTAAACATGAAACACGGAACAACATCGACCCAGAAAATAATTACGGTATATACTAGCTCTGTTCCTTATAGAAAGATTAAGTGGATAGGAGGGGATCGATGATTAATGAGGGCCGCTAGCTGGCAAAATAACAGCAACGTTTTTGTTTTTACGTAAAATTGTTAGCTGGGGAAAGCCCAACCCAATGTTATTCTTCAGACGTTCAAGTTTTGTTGATCTACAAGTGGTTCCGCACAAAGTTTCTTTTCCGGAGTTAAGTTTCATTTTATTTATGCTTATTTATTTTGTTTATGTTGTATATAAGATTAAGAAAGGAATTATTTTGTATGCTTTTTCCAGTTCAAGTCTTTTAGGTATTTTCCGGACGGATATAGGCCTAACTAAAAGATTTTGAAACTAAAATTTAATATTTAATTGCTGTACTTATAAACTAAATTATTAATTTTTCAGGATTTAACGAACCAAAAAAAAGTAGCTTCGAAAGGGACATTTTGAGGTTCTCTTGTTTTACTTGGGTTTTTTTTATTTTAATTAGTGGATCCTCCAAAGTAAACTGATAGGCCCTAAATAGTTTCAGACATTGCCTATATTAATGTTTAAAACCTTTAGTATTAGTATAAGGGTCTATAAAATCAGTGAAAACTTATCTGGTTCGGTCTGTCATTCTCAATAATTTATTTGATCCTTTTAAAATGAGTTATTCTCAGGGAAGGGAGATTATTTTAAAATGAGCTATTCTAAGGGAGGGAGGAAGGGAGGAAGATAATAATGCCCGGGGTTGGGGGGAGTAGGGCGCAAAGATAAAAATGAGTGGAATGAAGGGACTCGCAAAATAAAGAGATAGGCCTACTCATACTGTATGAGGTGATTCTTATCTACTTGAGAACTTTGCTTCGAGCATTTGCAAAGGGGATATTGGGGGACGGGCGAGCATTTTTTTGGGAATTTGCTATGTATTCTGGATGCGGAGCGCGGCAGCGGCGTGCTAAAAAACTTTTACCTTTAAATTTTGACCTTTCACCCAACCCACAATTCGTACACATTTTGCTGCTCTCTCGGAGAATGTGCGCAGCCATCTTAATACAAACAACGAAGAGTTATGTTTTTTAGGCTAGCAGTAGATAGATGCTAGACGAAAAGAAGGATTTTCAGGGTATTGTGGACCAAAAGGAACTTGGATGCTAGCTACAGGAAGTGACAGCATTGATTCAGAAGGGAAGCGAAAGAAAAGGAGACCCTCGGAGAACAATCATCACGCTCAAATCGACAGGAAAAAGTTGAAAAAGGACGAAGCCACTGTCGCCGAGTCGATGGGTGAATCTGTACCAAGGAGGGCCAATTTTTCAGCCCTTAGCCCGTCAAACAATGGCTTTACGACAAGCAGGGCATCACCAATTGTTAGCAGTAAACCTGGCTCTGGAAAAAAGCTCATCATAAAAAATTTCAGGGGTGAGTTATAGCAAGTAATTTCTATTTTGCTAGGCCTCGGCCTAACGACACATCTTGTAGTAGGGGCCTAGGCCTGGCCTAGCTAGGGTCTAGGATAGGTAGGCCTGGCCTAGCTAGGGCCTAGGATAGGTAGGCCATAGTGCCGTAGCTGGGCTAGGGCCTAGGCCTAGATCCAAAGCCTGGCTTAGGTTGGGCCTAGGCAGCTGCGGCCTAGCATATCCAATGCATACTACAGTAATATAGGCCAGCCTACTGAAGGTACATTGCAGTCTAGACTCCCCAAAAAATCTTATTTTAAGGCAAAGCAAACAGCCGACGTTTCTGATCAGTGATGATATTGCTCTATATAAGGCTCTCTGGCCTCTGACAGTTTGGGTAATGCTTTGATTTTTTTTTTATTCCTGAACACAAAAAAAAAAAGTTTTATTTTCTTGAATTACCGCCAGTCTGGCAGTATTTTGAAAACTACAACAATCAATAAGGCAGTGTGGTTATTGTTTAGTGACCAGAAAACATTCTGGATAAGGGAATTGAAAATGATACAGGAATTTGAAATTTATTACTATTACGTAGAGAGATGAGTTTAAAAGTAACAAGGCTGAAGTGGTCTGGGCCTACGTGAGGTGCTGCGCACATTCAGCATTCAATTCAAAACATTTACTCAAAACTTTTTAGTTCATATTTAATACAAAATTACAGTATGTCTACCTGGTGAACACTCATATAAGCATGGGATGTGTACAATAGGGACAAATATTAAGTGTACAGCCATGGCCTACAGGATTTGATTATCAGTGTATATATATATATCACTTAAAAGCATTTAAAGGTTTTCAAGGAATGGTTTGATGATAATATATTTCATTCACCCATTCAAACCATTTTCCAAGAAAACAACAATAGTGACTGCTGTTCCCTCATGGAAATATAACCACTAAACCAAAATAAAACCATAAATAAACTAACTTAGTTACCAATGTATTGAGGAGCACTCTCATTTCTAATATACAGTAAAACCAGAGCTTCCAGAAAATTACCAAGAAGAAACATGGAATCGATTAAAGGAAGCTGTTCGAGCGATCCACAATAGCAGAGCAATCAAGTACAGTCTGGAAGAGCTGTACCAAGCAGTGGAGAACATGTGCTCCCACAAGATGTCCGCCTCCCTGTACGAAAAGCTGAAACTGGTTTGCGAAGCACATGTGGAGTCGCAGTTGCCGCCACTCACCAGATATCCTTTACTTTATACAGAGATATTGCATGCTACAGTATTTACTAATTATACCTTAAACTTCGACCTTGAAGCAGATTGCACTGGGGCATGATTTTTTATTTCAAATGAAGAGCATCACTGGCAAACCTACAAATAAAGACTCCATAATTTTATGACCACCTCTAATTATAGACCACTTTTCTGTGGTCCCAAATTAACAAATGTCTTTTATCTTTATTATTCAAAAGCACCTGTATTCAGATAAGCATTTCAAAAGAAGGATCCAACTGACGATAAGGCCAAAAAAAAATTGTTTGTCTGCCCTTTAATGTTGAAAAATGTATAGGAGAGGTGGGCGCAAAAAAAATTTTTTTTTTTCTCCTGTCACCAAAATTAACATATTAAATTGCAATGCTTGCAATTAAGCCTGTCTTACTATTTGTTTTTCAAAGGGTATTCATCAGACTGAATAAAAATAACCCATAATCAATATTTTTTCTTAAGAATACCACAATGATTTTCAACCTCAATACCATATAGGCAAAGCCTAATGAATTTTATTATCAAAACTCGGTACTATAAAACAGACATGTTTCGGCAAATCCTTCGCCATCTTCAGTGAAACGATTGCTAACATGCAATCTACTATTTAAAGTGAGTGAATAACTGTGAAGCATTGTATTGTATTTTTTTCAGTGAGCTAGGGGTGGGCGCTGGAAGGCAAACAATTTTTTTTAGGCCTACAGTAAGTCTTCAGACTGTTGTGGGTTATCTCTGTTATTTACACTGAATCAATTCATTCTAATCCAAAAAAGTGGAGTACTGTACTCACATGGATTATAGTATATTTCTATCACTATATTCAATTATTTTTTCTAAATATATTATATATTAATGAAGAAAGTTTACAAATCTAGAGAAATTATTAAACAGGAATGGATTTGTGTCTTCAGAATTATGTTTTGATGACAAGACAGATAACAAGGATTTTATTATAGTCACAATTTTACAGTATTATACTGTAATAAACTGTACAGTAAAGAATTAGGTATAGTCGGCCATAAAGTGAGCCAAATGTCAACAACTTTAGAATTTAACACAAAATATGAACCAATATTAACAACAGCATTTTTTAAATGTATACACTAGGTAAATACTACTGAGTTAATATGATGTTCCTTAATGTTATTCACTGATATGCAAGATAGCTTGTCTTACCTAAAACTTGTCAATAAATGCTGGCAAGACCATTGTCAGCAAATGGTACGTACTTAATATCATCATCACAGATTACTTGGAGATTGGGCGTTGGAGGTGTAGTATAAAGCTGAGTACACACTGCATCGACGGTCGTTGAATTATGCAATGGACCTGTCTATTAAGCCCCGCCCATTAGATACAGTTGTTAAGGTCATACAAACCGACAGTGTAAAACAAATGCATGTGTGTTTGTGATACCTTTAAATAGCACTCTGGAAGGGTATATTCCATACAGAATGCAACCGACAAGCCGTGCAAAACAGACAATTTTGATGATCCGCTGAGATTTCCTCTGACAATCAACAAACTACGGTGCATCGTCAATCACCCTCAAAGATAGATTCAATGGTTGACAGTCGTGTGCCGCAACATATGCCCAGTTTTAGTAAAATGGGGACTTATATAGCCACTATAAAATTAAATTGTGTTGCTGACTTACTCCTTCGTCATGTCACTGTTTCACAAATTTATGTCTTACAGTACATGTACATTGTGATAATGTACTGTATTAAAATAATAATTTGTGAAAAAAAAAATTCTAAACTTATTTCTTATTAAAACAAGGAACAGTAAATCTAAATCCACATCAATTCTCAAAAAACATTGTTTGGTGTGTGTTTATTTTGTCAGATATTACAGTAGTATAGTTTTTTTTGCCATGTCTAATCACTTTATATGCCACTTAGTGAAATACCTAATTAGACAGGGTGTCAATGTGGTTGATGTGAACTCTAGCAGAATGATTCACCATTTTTTGATACTTTTTCTTTTGGTACAGATTATGATTCGAAGCATATTCCTGTTCTTGGATAGGACCTATGTCCTCCAGAATTCAATGGTATCCTCTTTGTGGTGAGTACAACTAATAACTAGATCAGTCACTCCATAGAGTGCATACCTTAACCCTGTGCATGAATAACACACAATATGGCTGTGTATGGCTGATTTCATTATTTTCTTTTATGCCCGAGGGTAAACAAATTCCATAAACTTCACCTTGTTCTTTCAGCTTTTCGTCCCGAAATTTAATTATCTCCGTCTTAGATTATTGTGTACCATATCACTAAGTTTTATGATCCATTTATTAGATTTTGCTTAATGTTGCCAACAAACAGACAGACAGCAGTGGATACATAACCTCCTTGGTAGAGGAAATAATATAATAGTGTACAATAAGGTACCTATGTCCATATAGATATGGTGCCAAAACCAAGCTGAACAATGTGAAATGAAGGAAATTAAAAAGATATTATAAAATGAGAAAGTTTTGTGGTCCACAGTGTTTCTATAGTCTGGACTGCAGATATATTTACGGGCAGTGAACTTTGAGAAGAGTAGCAAAAAGAGATCTGTTGGTTCACTTACATTTAGCATAAACAGGTTATATCGTCATTGCGGACTTATAAAATCCGCATATGCCTTAAAACTAAAAGAAAATGCATACTTTTGGAGTCCGTACTGAGCCCACAAAATCTGCAATGAAAATATAACGTGTTCATTGTGTTCTGTTAAAATTTTAAACTGTCGTAGGGTCATTAAGGATATATCGGGGTTATGAAATCTGAAAACAGCATGCCTTCTTGAAGTATTGTTTAACATATTTCCAGTCATGTAAATTTTACTGAATCATAGTAAAATTTCTATTTGCATGGACATATATTGACAATGTCAAGTACTTAAAAGTATGCAGATATGAACTTTTAACAGTAAACTTTAAAAATACATTAAAACATCCATTCTCTAAATTAGACTTATCTATCTATAATCACAAAATACAAGGTTTTTGCATGTAATGAATTGAAAGAATGTCTGTCCATGGGGATTGTGTGGATAATTGAATGAATTATACTGTATGTACAAAGCAAGAGAATTTGTTTCTGTGCTACATGCCTTCTTCCTTCAAAGCAAGAGAATTCCCTTTGTGCTACATGTCTTCCTCCCATGAAACATAATAATTTGTTTCTATGCTACATGCCTTTCTCCTACAAAGCATGAAAATTAATTTTTGCGCTACATGCCTTCTCACAAAGAAAGATAATTTGCTTCTGTGCTGCATGCCTCCACGCTCACAAAGCATATGATATCACTTCCTGCCTCTAGTCTCGCAATGTATGAGACCACTTCAAATTTGTGTATTTCAACATTTTCAAAATAGAGATGTCACACCTTAACTAGTGAAGCATGAATTAATTTCCAAGCTAGTGCCTAGACTTGCAATCTGTGATGCATTTCTTTGCTGTATACAGGTTTTACCATATTGCAAACACATGAAACCTCACTACTTATGCTGCCATTTTCTCAAAAGCATTAGATTTTACTCATGCTTTAACTCTCGCAAAGCATAATGCATCACTTCTGATTCAAGCTTATATCACAAAGTATGAGATGTCACATCTAACCCTGTAAATCCATTCTTACGTAACATGTAGTCTCACTACTGAACCTCATATCTCTGGAAATTTTGAAAATAATCCTTGTTATTTTATGCATTTTTGGTAGTTAATTCCATGAAAAACTGCTTGCATGAATAACTTTGGAAGGTGGTTACTCAAAATTATCTTTTAACTAAAATTTGAATGCACAATTTCAGTGTATTATCTGGAAATTGGGCAAATTACCTGAAAACACTGTTAACTTAAATTTATTAGTTTTTGCTATTTAGAAGTTCTGCTACAACATGCCTTACTGAATACATTTATATGTACATTGAAGAAGATTATTTAAAGCCCATGTTGATTCTGTCATTGCTTTGCATGTCAGCCATTACATCCAGGGATCACAGCTAATTCCACAGCATGCAGCAAGTGTCATTGTTTTTGGTCATGATGCAGATATCTCAATTTGGGAGAAGCCTGATGAAGGAAATCTGGTTTAATGAGTTTTTACAGTAGTAAACGATGCAAGCATTCTATGTTTGTATAAGATGTGTTAGTTTGATTCATTGTGGAAGTGCGGAGACCATGCTGGTTTATAGGAGACGCTTGTAATCTACAAGAGACTAGTTAAAACTGCTGAATGATGTGTAACCGGCTCTGGCAAAACCTGCCGTTTGTTGCAATTTCTAATTGTCGCTCAAACATCCAAAGCATTCGAGAATCAGAATTTTGAAAAATTTCAGGTTTTGCATTTTATAAAATAAGATATATATTGAAGAACATTCCTACAAAATATATCAATCACTAAATTTAACTGAAAAGTATATTAGTATTATTGTAAAAATACAAATCTTAATAATAAACTATTGATTTTGGAATCTTCGGAAGCTGTTTTCTCATACATGACTGTTATCCAGTGAATTAAATATTCATAACTTGGCCAATACTCAAATTTCCATCAAACTCTTTAAGAAGTTCTCATGCCGAATCTAGAAATACCAGTAACTCAAATTTAATTTTTTTCCCCGCTAGTTTTGCCATCAGCAGATTTAAGCAGTGTCAGAAATTAGGGTGATGACATCATAGTTCTTAATAATTATGTTTGCGGTACACCACGTAGATAGCTATCTATGTGGTGTGGCGCAAGTATTTATTATTATTGTTATGCAAACCTTCAAACAGTATTTACATTTCTTAAACAAACCAACAATATTATTCACCTCTCTTGTGTAGGGACCATGATGATGCGCACTAACCTTCAGTGCATAATTTTTTTTAATGAATTAATCATTATTTTCTGTGTACGTTGATCATCATAGGGATATGGGACTGGATTTGTTTAGGCTTCACATCATCAGCAACAAGCTAGTAGAAACACGAACAGTTGAAGGACTTTTGCTGCTTATAGCGAACGAACGTGCTGCAGACGTGGTTGATCACAGTCTGCTTAAGAGCCTGCTTAGGATGTTGTCAGATCTTCAGGTAAGCCAATCAGTGTAATGATTGTTGTATGAATGTAATTTTTGGTTTTTCTTTAAGTTGTACAGTTTACTAAATGGTAGCTTTATGCTACTGCTTTTTTACTTGCTTTCAAATTTGCTAATTTTAATTTGTTTCTCCTTCCTGGACTTTTAGAAGAATGACTTATGTTAAACCAAGTTTTCCTGCATTAAAATAAAGCTAATTATTATTATTATTATTATTATTATCAGAGTCCCAATGCCGACAATGCAATTTCCGCAAATTTCCATATAATTTTTGTATATTACTAATTGCGGTGTAATTACCGACATGTACTAACAATTAGAACACTATATTCAGTCTGCACCGTACGTATTTCACTGTTTGTTTGTTTACATTGAGCGTAGCGGTATTGATGTACTTTCACAAAATCGCGATTATTTTTTTTGTTGTAAGAAATTGCGTAAATCTCCAAAAGTGAGTCATTTTCATTTTACCGCTACGGGTCACAGATTGCGATTAGAATAAAGTTTTTGGCACCATTGTAAAGCTAAGATGTTTTTAGTTCTTGTACTATTCATTACATGTCAATCTGATCACATACGCATTTTCAACGAGCTTCGGAATGGTGTTAAAATTTGCTAAAAAGTCTGGCGGAGGCTGATACTATTTTTTCAAACCCCTGTTGGTCAGAGTGTTAAAGATTTTAGAAGACAGTGGGGGAAAATATATACAGGTACTTTAATTTCGCATTTAGCAAAATAGTTCTGCCAAAAAAGGAGGAGAGGAGAAAAGATACAAATCTAATTGACCATTGATGGTATTTCGCACATACAGTAGATTCTAGCTAGGCCTAGGCCTCTTTGAAGTAATGAAATTCATATTCCTTACCAGAAGTGTGTATGATGATTGCAGACAGAATTTAAATATAGACAGGCTTTTCCTTTTTAGTATGTGTTGTCTAATGCAGGATTAAGAAAACTAAGTAACCGGTTTGACATTTATATTTTGAAACTAATATGTTTGATATTTATATAGATCTTATAAAGTGTGAACTGTCTATATAATTTTCTCTCAATAGATGCATTTTCTAGTTATCCAATCTCTCTATGAAATGATGTTGAAGTTTGTAGAAGTCCTTTTATGGGAGCTACTATATCTGCAGTATCTACTCTGTCTGTTTATTAACCCACATGAGTATTACAGTTTTATCCTCCAGATCCCCAGTAAATAATACTAAATGCAAAACATTCCAAGAAACCACAAGTCACTCCATAAAGTGTATACCTCTGGCCTGTGCCTAATTACCAAACAGTACTCAGCCTGGTTATGAGGATTCCATTATTTTCCGACCTGTGCCGCGCCTGAATACTATACAGTACACAGGCAGACCATTCCATTTTTTCTTTTATGCTTGGAGTAAAAAATTAAATTTCATTGACCTTGTCCTTTGACCTTTTCTTTCCAATATTTAATAATCTCACTCTTCGAATATTATGTACCATTCCATTAAATTTATGATATCCATGCAATAATTTTTTGCTAACAGACAGACAGACAGCGATAACCTTCTTTGGTGGCGGTAAAAATTGCTATTTGATTTTATGGTTGCTTAACTATTCAATCAAATTCCCAGATGAAATAATCATTACATGGCTGGCGTATAATACATAATCATTTTCCATTCCATCTGTTAAGTGTTTTGTGTGAATACCATGTAGGTACGGAGATTTGAGAATGTTATAATAATGATAATGAGAGAATATCACAAAAGTTTTTTTTTTATGTTTAATATAGGCCTACTCCCTATGTTGAGTTATTAACATTTTAGAATTTAAATTGAATATCCAAATTGGTTTATATATTTTAGTAAGTTGATTATCGTGTTGCAAAAAAAGTTAAAAAAAAAAAAACCATAAAAGAAACTACTACCGTAGTTCCTGGGGTATATAAGTCCAGCCCCTACTTTACACCCTATTTTCCATTACCAGCCTTTCCTTGTGCAAAAGCCCGGGATATAATTTTATGAGGAGCTTAGCTAATACAATGATAGAGAATTACCTTTTGATTAAAGGGGATTCCACTGGTTTAAGCTCACCCCCAAAATCAGCCCAATTTTGTGTTCTGAAAGGGGGTTTTGCAGAGAAATTGCAGTAATTATTTGTCTGTGCCATATGGCAGATGCATAAATAATACTGTTATATTCTATCCTTTGCATTGACTCTTAAAGAAAGGGTCCTGTGTTTAAAAATGGAATTTTAATTTTGGAAAATATCAAACATATAGAATCATTCAAAGGCACCCTAAGCTGAATTGCAAAAATAGATTTAAGAAGCTCTTATTACAAAAGAATTGTTTTGTGTGCAAAATGTTTTATTCATTTATCAATTTTCTTTGAAATAATTATTTAAATATTCTGATGGAAAAGTTATTGTGGAGAAATACGGTAATATATTCTAATATTATTTGAAAGTTAATAAGCCTACATATATCTTTAATCTGAAACATTAAAATAAAACCTAATACTTCCATCAAATGGAACTTTGGCACACTGCATTGGCTGACTTATTAAGCTGTATTGCGTCTTTAATATGAAACATTAAAATACAGCTTAAGACTTCCATCAGCGCAATGTGGCGTGAATCCTGTTCGGAAATCATTTGTCTGTACATCCTTCATTTCGAAGAATACAGATTTCTTGTCCATGACGCAAATAGGCTTAAACATACTTTATCTTTTGACAGATTTATGCAAACGCATTTGAGAAAAAGTTTCTGGATGCTACTGACAGGCTGTATGCGTTGGAAGGACAGCGTTTGATGGAAGAAAGAGATGTAAGGGTTTTTTAAATGTTTGTTCACTTTAAATAATAATTTAGAGTAATTTATATAACAGCATAATAATTTTCAGTTGTATTTATTTGTCTTGTCTATATTTGTTTTGTTTTGTTTTGTTCACGCAAAACGATATCTGTGCGATGTACCAGTTAATTCACCGGTACATACTTTCTAAAACCGCTCGTACACTCGCCTAATTACCTTACCATCTGGATTATCCTTGATTATTTTGACCACCAAATTGCTGGGTAGAATACCATGTATGAGATGACCATGGAGTAGGAGGCGATGATAAATCAACCTTCATTGTTTTTCCAAATGTTTTGTCCACAGTCCAGCGCACGGAATTCAATATGTTTACGGCCCAGGCCTGGCTGCAGCCAGTACCCGCTGTCGTTGCACTCTCCTCCTTCGCCACCTCACATGCACAACAAAATTAATGTTGGATTGGACAATAAATCCATCAGCATCACATCATTGTAGACATAACGGTGGCTAGTAGCATAGCTACGCGTTCAATTTGTAGATTACCATTATTTGGAGAAATAATCTTGAATAAACTAACCTACTTACAGATTTTAAAGAAGAGTTTATATGTTGTTGAGTTTGGATCTCGTTCCTGCGTGCCACGCTGTGGGGTACGTGCATGGGCCGAGTATAGCAGCAGTAGAAAGTAACAAACAATGGGTTGATGGGATGAGTGTTTCTCATTTGCATCTGATGGACCTTTGAAATTTTCTTCCGGAGTAGTTTCGTTACACAGTACTTAACATTAGCTAAAACTTGCTTGAATGGTCGACCACCTGCAGAGTGCTCAGCATGATTAAATTTAACAGGATACGGTTGGCTTTTTTCGCTTGAACGGGCCCATAGTCATTAATTTATTAAGGGATTTATTTTCAAATATGTTTTTTTTAGTGTGAGTTGATAGAAATATTTAAAGACTTAAGTATAAGTGAACAAATGATAATAATGGTTATTAGTGGTATTGCTATATTTTTTTTAATTATTGTTATTTTTTTTATTATTTTTGCTAATATTAATTTTATTGCCTTATTTATGTTTATAGTATTTTTAAGATTCATTTTGCCTCATCTTTTTAGCACGTGTTACTGATAAGGTGGATAATTATATTTTCATTATTAATATTTTGCAGGTCCCAGAGTACTTGACACATTGTGATAGACGTGTGGATGAAGAAAACCAGCGAATACTGCATTACCTTGACCACAGTACAAGGAAACCTCTGATAGCATCCGTAGAGAAACAACTACTGGAAGTACATGTGCAAAGAATACTACACAAAGGTCAGCTTAATTGTTAGGGCATCGATGGGTTAGTATACTGTGCGTCGGAAAACACCCTAAAAGTGTAATTGGTAACACATATAAGTGCTGAGTTTGAAAGCATAAAGTTATTAATTGCAAGAGAGATCAAATCAATCGAGTTGATTTCATTGATTTGCAGATCTTATTACATACAATAACACTGATAATTAAATGCTCATCATAGAGAGTATTTACAGTAGGCCTCTTTTATCAATGGGCCTTTGTCGGCTGTCAATCAAACTTAACAATTGACCAATCAAAACAGGGTCCTTAGCAACAGTATCCAAGGTCCAAATGTCCATTTGCAAGGAATGAAATCTTGAAAAGAAATTATTACTGCAAAGCTACAAACTAAAGGAATTATTCTAATTATTCAATAATTTTGATAGAAGTGGCATTTCTGTAAATTGATAATTTACTTTAATATTTTCCTATTCTTGGTGTTCATTTAGGTCTTGATAACCTCCTTGATTTAAACAGGACGCATTATCTAAGCCTGTTATACAGTTTGCTAAGCAGAACTAAGACAGGCCTAAGCCAGCTATGTACTCACTTCAATACATACGTAAAGGTAAGCTACAATTATAATCGTTTGTTTCTTACATTCCTTAGTAACATTAATTGCGTAGGATGGATGTGATGTCAACATGTGTCAGACGCATCCAAAAGCTGTAGAATAGCTCGCTAATATACAAGAGGTCATGTGGGTCATGCCTCATGTCTCAATTTATTAAGTGGGTTATTGCCTGCGTTTGCAGAAAGCTGCCTTAAATACACAAGGTTTTTTTTCCCTTTGAATTTAGTCCATATAAAAATTTCTATGTTATTATTTTCAGTAAAATTATTATGTTAGTATTGTTGTTTTGAATTTTATTAATTTTTTGCAAAGCAGTATCCATCGTTAACAATGGATCTTAACAGGAAACATTTTAAAAAATCAAAACATTAGCATAAAATCCAAGGTATTGCCAAGGTGTGAGCTGGGCTGCTCCCCTTGAAATATTATTTAGGGTTATTTTTCATCTGGTTACCCACTTTTATTTTAATTTCCAAATTTTTCTTAAATAAATAATTTTCTTGAGGAAATAATTGAGATGATATTAATTTAGTTTGCACCAATTTTTAGGTTCAACTTTGTTAATTTTTTATAATTTTCTGTAATAGTTTTTAATTCCCTTCTTAATAGATACCAAACATCTTTTAATTTTTTTTCCAAATTTAAGTAAGACATGCTTTATATAATTGTTATTGTGATTATCATTATTATTATATTCATACTTAATTGTACAAGTAAACAAAACCGTAGTATTATTGTAGTGTAAGTGATGGATTCTGGAACTCATAATTTAACCTATTTTTTCCCCCTAATAGAAAACTGGCGCAGCAATCGTAGTGAATCCGGAAAAGGATAAGACAATGGTGCAGGAGCTACTAGACTTCAAGGAGAAGATGGACAGTATCCTCCTGAAATGCTTCTGTAAGAACGATGTGTTTACCAACAGTTTAAAGGACGCGTTTGAAACATTCATCAACAAGAGAGCGAACAAACCGGCAGAATTAGTCGGTAGGTTTACCTCTTCTATTTTTCATCATTTACCAGCAGGTAGAAAAATATGATATATTCTAATTATGACTCCAGTCCTTTCTTCCTCTTAAAAATGATATAATAAATTATAATTGTTTTCATTTCGATATTATTTTGTGTGATTCATTAACGTGAACACAGGCTAAACTATGCTGTATTTTTTGTAATATTCATGAAAATAATGAATATTCATGAATAAACACTTAAGAGTTTTTTTGCTTCAAGAGTATTTTTTTTAAATATTAGTCCTTTCTGTTGCTGATAGCCTGCATTTAAATCCTTACAATATTGTTAAAGCTAGGCTCCAGAGGAAAAAAATTTTTAATATGTTGTACCACTGCTCTTCTAAGACACAATAAGGTGTTTGAAGAAAAACTTGGGCACAGTTATTGAGATACAGATTTTTGAATAATTAAAAAAAAAAACTTGTGGGAAAAGGAGCGTAACTACCATATCCCTATCTTGAACTCAATTATTGATTTTCTCATAAATTGGGTCTATGTTCTCAACAATCAAAATGAAATTTAAAATATTTAAAATTTCATTTAACAATAGAACAGTTGTACTAGGGTGTAGAATTATTTGAACTTTTCAGCAAAGTATGTTGACAGCAAACTGAAGACTGGCAACAAAGAGGCAACAGAGGAGGAATTGGAGCGGTTGCTGGACAAGATACTGGTCATCTTCAGATTCATCCATGGTAACACCTAATTTCTTAATTAGTTAATTTAAAGATTACTGAATAACAGTTACAGTTATATACTGTAACTGATGTAGTAGCCGTCTCCTCAGGAAGACACATGGCCGTCATTGACGGCTCTGTTGACAGAATCACTACTGGTTATTTGAGATCAAGTATTTTTTATTATACTTCACAAATTTATTCAGTTATATTTTTAATTAATATTTTTAATAGCTTGATGGAAAAGATGCTTGTCTTCTAATCCCAGGGTCCTGGGTTCAATTCCTGTCACAGCAGGACTTTTTTTCAACCAAAAACAACTCCACTCCCGCCTCATAAAGAGACTTAGTTTATAAAGGATCGTCCATCCTGTAATTGGCGAGTTACTCACGGTTGGATTCGAATGAAATAAAATAAATTTAAATTACATAAATAAAATATATTTTGAAAGAAACCTAAAAAAATGTAATTGAAATATTGAATTGCTCATTTTAAAGTATCACAGAAATTATGAACTTACAATGAGTTGCAGATTGATACATTGTAGAAGCGTTTGCGCAACAGTTGAGTTGAGGCTCTGACTCCTAACCATGAGACACTTTATCTATGTTTGTATAAATGGGTAACGGAATATGCTAGGAAGGTAAAAAGACGTACTGTAAGGAGGAGTGGCGATCCCCTTGAAGCATTGTCTATTCTAGTACCAACGCTTAAGAAAGAATGATAGACACTCCGCACCTCCTTACCTCAACTACGTAAATTCATGTTAACACCTCTGTTATTCTGATGACGATTGAAGCAACTCATTTGAAATGTCGAGACACTCAACAAAAACAACAGCTCTTTATAGAACTACCTACATATTGTACCACAAACATGTATTATTATTATTAGCGATAAAATCCCTATCAAACCTAGGCCTGTGTGTACAAGTGTAAATATGTGTTCTTTACAAATATCAAGAGGTTTTTTGTTTGTTGTTTACCTTTTAGGGAAAGACGTATTTGAAGCCTTCTATAAGAAGGACCTTGCCAAGAGGTTACTAGTCGGCAAGAGTGCATCCGTAGATGCAGAGAAGTCAATGTTAACAAAGCTTAAACAAGGTAAGAAGTGTAAAGAAACCCTAAAATTATTGGCATGGATGGATCATTTTAAATCTGTAATACTTGCACTATACTTGTTGATATATAATCACCATCATACACATTGTCACCAACATCATCTGAGTCTTAAAAACAAAATTGTATAACACGCCAATCTTTTAAATATATATTTAATTATTGATTTTCAGAACTTAACATAATAGATTTTTTTTCTTTTGATCTATTTTAAGAATGTGGTGGGGCATTTACAAGTAAGTTGGAAGGCATGTTCAAGGATATGGAACTATCAAAAGATATTATGGTAGCATTCAAACAGGTAGGTCATAGGTTATAACACATTATGAATATGCATTAATAAATTAAATGGTGTATTTTAATAAATTGATTGATCAGTTAGTAGTATATTTTTTGATTGTGTACAATGCAATGCAGTTTATGTAATTGAATATTACATTGTTGAAAGTATCGGTGCTGATCATGTCAGTGTTGAATTATGAAACATGGAGGCTTGACACCTTGACCTCTGATGATTAGTGTTCAAACTTAGCTACAAAAATGTGAAGCAATGACAGAATTATTACTGTTTATTTTTGGTAAATATTTCAGCCGCTTCAGGTTTCTTTCCTATCTTTCTTCTTCCTTTATAGTTTTATAATTTAATTTTTTTTTTTTTTCCCTATAATTAACCTAACAATTTACTTACATCATACATTCATATTTATTAAATTTTAAGGCCTACTATGTATACATTGTGTCGTATTTAACATTTTTCAGTCTTTGTCAATTTAAAGTCGAAGGTATGTCCTGGTCCCCGACCCTTTTATGTTCACTTTGATAGGCTTATCTTCATAGGATTTCTACAAATGGATACCTTGTTTGAAGCAAGAAACCAAGTTGTCTTTACCCAGTACCGCTCATATATTTTATTCATGTGGGAAAATTTTTAACCAGTTTATGTAATTTAATATTACATTTTGATGGTATCAGTGTTAATAATATTCTTGATAAAGTTATTGATATGATGTTGTTGATGATGTTCCTGCTTCTTTAAGTTGTAGGGCTAACACCATCAAAACTGAAGGCTTTTACCCTATTGCCCATTGTTGATAATGTTGTTGATAATGGTGTTGATAATGTTTAATTATTGGTCATTTTATTGATAATGTTTTGGTAATGATGGTAGTAATATTGTGGCTAATATTCATTGTATTAGATACATTTATATAAATGTATTAGATACATTTATATAAATGTATCTAATACATTAGATACATTTATATAAAGTGTGATGTTATTTATTGATTATAACTGCAAATGTTACTATGTATTAATGTTATATTGCATACTGCATTGTCTCAACAGCATGTACAGCATCAATCCGTGCCTGGCAACGTTGAGATGACAGTAAATATTCTGACAATGGGGTACTGGCCCACGTACACACCCATGGAGGTTCATTTGCCTTCAAATGTGAGTACAGTATCATTGTAAGCCATTTTTGTGTCTGGCGCCCTCTAGAATGAGTAATTATTGTTTGGGTTAGCCATAATTTCAAAACTCACAGTAGACACTCTAGCTGGGGGCCTATTTTTGACCGAAGTGCTGATTTCTTTAAATAATTAAGTTTTGATGAATCACTACTTTTATATTGGTAAAAGTTCATTGCTTTTTTAGTACCATATAAATTTTTTTATTAATAATATTGGTACTATTATTCTGTAGAAATCTCTCCCTTCTGACCCCCGAACATTCATTGATTAATTATCATTATTCAATTGTCATATAAAAATATAATAATAATAGTAATAATAATAATAATAATAATAATATTTTTACAGTGGTGACACCAGGATTTTCTCTATGGGGGTTCGATGTCGATGAGGGGGATTTCTCAAACAGGAAGACTAAAGATAGCATAAGTGGGCAGGACCAGAGCAGCCCAGAACCCCCCAAAGGGGGTCCAGATGGCAAAGCCCCAGAAACTTCAACCATTTAGCCCTGGCCACACTGGTGCCACCACTGTTTTTTTTTTCATTCCATCGAATGCCAAACAGTGGTGTTTTTGTTGTTTTTTTTTTAACAGGAGCTATATAATTTTATATATTTATTATTAATAGGAGCTATATAATTTTATATATTTATTATTAATAGGAGCTATATAATTTTATATATTTATTATTAATAGGAGCTATATAATTTTATATATTTATTATAAATTTATATATATATATATTTAAGAGATTTTCATTATACTAGGGGATCCAAATGAATTTATTCTAAGATAAATGATGTGATTGCTAGTAATAATGAAGTGTGAACTGGAAAAAAAAAACTTCCAACTAAAATTGAAATGAGCAGCACCCTTTGGCAAAAAAAAGGGGGTACCACACCATACTTATAATTCATTCAAAACAATCTAAATTCAGTAATGGCTTCCTCACAATAGGTGATCAATCATACTTTGTGCTTTTGCCACAGTATACCTTCCCCTACATTGTAAGCATACAATACCAGCAAATATAAGTCAATGAAATATTCATATCTCAATTAACAAAACTCATTATCTTCATAAATTTATAGCTTGAAAAGAATTGTAAATTTATTTTGATACAACTGGCAAGGCTGTCATGTAGACAATTGTTTACAAAGTTCACTTCGGTGAACCTTTTTATATCTTCTGAATATCAGTTGTTTACACAACCATATTAGAACTAGAATAAATGGAAATGATGAAAGTCTTGTATTAACATGGTTTCAGTTACTTAAACTCTATATATCATACAATATACAGTATAATTCCAATTAATGGGACACCTTCGGAACCAAAAATAAGTGTTCCCTCCAGAGTTTCAGCTAAAGTGTGGCATATGTAGGTTAGCCTGCCCAAGACTGTGCTAGTCTCTCGTACTATTGAGTTCCCACCAAGTTACATGTGAAAAATAGAAATCTTGCTTTACCTTATGGTATATGTAGATTTTTTTGTGATCCTGAATTGAAATAACTGAAACAATGTAACACATGATCCTATTACCTTTCCGCATTCATTTTCAAACCACATGGTCCTAAAAGTGATGCATAATTACACTGATAGGATTTGGAAGGGGGGTAGGTTTTCTAAACAATTACGGACAGTTGCTAATTCTAGGATGTTTCTTAAATATACTAAATAAATACAATTGTGTGTTTTTTATTTTCAGATGGTAAAGCTACAGGAAATGTTCAAAACATTTTATCTGAGCAAGCACAGTGGACGAAAGTTACAATGGCAGCCAAACCTTGGACATTGTGTTATGAAGGCCTCTTTTAAAAAGGTAAAAGTGTAGTTAATTTTCATTTTCAACTTTGGTCAGTCATTTGATTAAAGAGGTGAAATGTGTTTTGGTGGTTAAGATAATTGCCTGTGTTTAAATCATCTAAAAATTTTATTTTATCAAAAACCTTGCCAGTCACTATACATCTGATGAGACTAAACCTGCATTTGCATTCATATTATTTTAATGAAGACAGAAAGTAATATTCTATTTCTTTTATATTCATTGAGGGAGTTTAAAGGAAATATTTCAATTTTTTTTCGACTAATATCTACCATTCCACTAAATTTTATGATGATCCATTCATAGATTATGCAAAATCCTGCTAACAAACAGACAGACATACACCAGTGAATAGATAACCTCCTCGGTGGATGTAATTATGTTTTCCTGAAGAGCAGACTTCTGGAAAAGCCTAAACCGATTATGCATATTATTTCACTTGTTTATTATGCCTTTCTCTTTTCCTTTACAGAGTATGAGAGAACTTAGTGTATCATTGTTTCAAACGCTTGTTTTACTTATGTTTAATGATAGTACGGAATACACATTAGAAGACATAAGACAAGCTACAGGCATTGGTAAGCTATTAGCTTCAGACGGATGATTAATCCTCACCCACTAGATACCTGGTAGGATGTTAATGTATAGTAAATGTGGGTGTTTTTTTTTATCGTTAATACACATAATTTTGCATTGAAGCTTGTCTCTTAAATAATATCTATATATATTTTTTTTTCAGAGGATAGTGAGCTTCGAAGAACGTTACAGTCCCTTGCATGTGGCAAAGCCCGGGTAATTCTGAAGACGCCCAAGGTAATGATAAAATTTAACATCTGACATGGTCTCACAGAATTTGGTCAAAGTCAAAAATTAATTTTTTTTTAAAAATAAAATCAGTAATTAAGTTCTGGACTATCAAGTATGATTTTTCTAATATATTATTTCTATTAAAAATCATCTGACAAAATTGCATTCATAAACTACAAGTTACAATTTTGTGACATTTATTTTTGAAGTATTTGCATAATGTTCCCATACAAATTCTATAAAAACTGTTCACTTTGTGTCCAGTTATGTGTGTAGGTTGATAATTAACTTCATTTATGTGTGACAGGAGCATTAGTTAGGCTGATTTTGCGCAGTATACGCTTACCTGTACATTGTTGATTCTGTTGTATAATATATTCTCCTTTCAATATTACATTTGATTTCTATTCCAGAGTAAAGATGTGTTTGATGGGGATAAGTTCATTTACAATGCAGAGTTTGATCACAAGTTTTTCCGCATCAAAATCAACCAAATACAGATGAAAGAAACAGTAAGTAAACAGCAACAACAACAACAACTTAGCTCTTAAGGTGCTAGCCTTCCAATCCCACAGTCCCCACTCCCTAAGACTTATGACTTAGTTTAGTGTATGTGCTGTTGGATGTGAAATGGATATATTTGCTGTTGACAACCATGTGCCTAAATTGAAAATTTTAAGAAATTGATAATTTATAGAGTCCCATTAAGTTCTATCTTGTAATTATTAGGATGATTTTACTGTTTGGTGAGAGCAGAATGTGACAAACCAGTGGAAAACTGTTTTTCATTTCTTGTAGATCGAAGAGCAAGCCACTACACAGGAACGTGTCTTCCAAGACAGGCAGTATCAAATTGACGCGGCAATCGTACGAATCATGAAGATGCGAAAGACATTGAGTCATGCATTACTGGTGTCAGAGCTCTATAACCAGTTGAAGTTTCCAGTTAAGGTACATTTCACTTAATTAATACTGGAGTCCCAGTTCTCCCGGAAATCAAGACTTCTCCTGCAAGGAAGCAAAAATCTCCTGGAAACTAGCCCATCTCCTGCAAATTTATTATATTTACATATTTTTACTATTGGTATTTTTGATCGTCTCACAAAGGTCAGCTGGTGATGAGAATCACCATATGCACAGGGGTGGATTTAGGGGTGGAGGGTGCTGGCGATATCTGCCCCCCCCCCCAAACATTTTGGACATCTCTGGATCTGCCCCTGATGTACAGCTAGTAAAGTTAGATGTGTTAAGAAGGAAGACCAAAACCACATGAATAAACACCATTGAGAGGGACCATTGAGAGGGACACTAAGAGAAAAGTTAATAGGTCTGCATATACTGGCTAACGATCGCTCCGATTGTAGGAGTCCTGTTGAGTGCACTATACTCGCAAGTAATTTAGCGTTGATGATGATGATGTGCAGAAAAGGCTCATTTAACCAAATCTCCCAAAGTGGCTTCTTTCAACTTGCATGAAAATTTAAGTTTTAATATATACAGCAAATAGTAAAATGTTTTCAGATTTTAATGATATTTCCTCTTTTTTCAATTTCAGCCCACAGATCTGAAAAAGCGTATAGAAAGTTTGATCGAAAGAGATTACATGGAACGCGATAAGGACAGTTCAAATCAGTACCACTACGTAGCCTGAACAAATTATATATTAAAAATAGTGTACAGCAAGTAATCAGTATCAGAAAACAGCAGTTGTTTTCTGTGCTACTTCACCGGGCGTAGAAGAAATTCGGGCAGGTTATGTTTGTTTTCTGGACAAGTGGTCCACCCTTGGATGCTGTGGCATTTTTTCTTAGCTATTGTAATGACGAATATTTCATTCGTCTGCCACTCGTAAACTTGGGTATTACACTATCTCTGTCGCTGCCGTTGTTGCTACTTTTAGTCAATTATAATTTAAAAATATTTAATGTACCCTTGGATTCATAATAACTTAAGGTGGAAAGTCTGTTCATTTCATGGTGTAGTTTTTAGCCAAAAATAACATCTTCCCTTCTGACATCTGGATGCATCCAGGCTAAGTTTCATTTTTTGATAGAGGGCAGCATAACAAGATTTTTTTCTTTCTCTGATACCAGGAACATTGATTTACCTCCCAACTGATCTACCTAATAATGATCGATGTGTTACTAATAAACAACAAACAATGTGTGACATTGTGAATCACTTGTTAAGTTTTGTTTTTGGCTTGTATACAACATAACTATGTTAACCTTCATTACAATTGTATGCATCCAGTACTAACATGACAAAAGTATGGTTACAAATAGAAAAAAGATATTACAGGTTATCAATTCTGTAATGCATTTGGTTACATGACCTTTTCGTATTTATTCAGTTCGGCTTGGCAGCTAGAACGTTTTACTTCGTATTCCATAGTTCTGGATTCAATTCCTCCAATCTTCACTACCTACGTTTTGCTTCAAGGATTATGTAAACCTTCAACTGGTAACACGAGAGAGATGATGCAACATTTACTATCATGAGAGTTTTTGAATCGCTCTCTTATGTTAATTAGAGAAGCAAAAGAATTCGATGACATTAAGTGAAGAAATGGATTAGACAGGATCAGACTTTTTAGCCATACCTCCGAAAAAAAAGTGTACTAGCTGAAAATGTTTGTGAGTTTGAACTAGGCCATGTTGTTCGTTGAATTCAACAATTTACCCACTTTAACCCACTTGTATTTTCTGAAATGATGATTCATTGTTTTGTATATTATTGTATTATTTGTTACTGGCTATTTTGTATATTGATGAAGCCGTTGAAAGTAGGCATAGAGGAATAAGCAACCATTATAACAATATACAACTTTGCTGTTTCATTTTGATATTGAATCGTAATAATTTACGCGAGGGGTGGCGCCAGGATGTGCTCAACAGGGGGCCTGATATTCCGACAGTGGAGCCGGACTCCCCGAAAAGAGCGTAAATCTCTTGGAAGTGATCCATGGAGCGAACCGCCATGAAGCAACTCAACAGTTTAATGCTATTAACAAATAAATATTTAACTATTAAAGGCATTTCATTTTTCAAAAAATATTTACAGGGACAAATTTTTAAATTAATATATAATCTCAAATTGAGTTTTGCATTTCATTTGTGTCCAATTTCAAAAAATTTATTTTTTTTTTTGGAAGTTTTTTTAGGCCCCTGTGTCCATTAAATCTAGTTGACCTAGTGTGAACTGATACTCATTAAATAATAATTTTTTGAACGAGAATGTTGTGGTTTGAATTCTTTGATAAAGAATTCTGCTTCAATTTAATAATTCTGGGTTGACAACGTAACATGCAAGGCCAAGTTGACAAAAACATGTTTCTCATATCTTTGAAAAAGAAGTGAATGAGAAATTTTTGTGACCTTTTGTAATGTCATTACATTGTAGATGAACTGTCACCAACAAAGAATCAACAAATTTCTATTGATTGCATATAAT